ATCAATAAATCTTCCTATATTTTTCTCCCTAAAAAGTTCAAGGATACCATAAAAACTGGGCAAAACAAAAGCCATCCACAGAAAAGAAAAAATGTGATAAATCATGTGCCCAACCTCACTTAATGTAAGGGAAATAGGTATTTACCATGCAGGCAGATACCGTTTCCCACCTGTGACCCTGACTAAATACCCAACAGTATGACGGTACTCTGTTAGCAAGCTCTCATATGCTGCTTATGGGATGGCAAAGCTGCACTGCCCGGAGTAAGAGGAGAAATTAAGACTACATATTCATTCACTTTCTGACTCACAAATCCCACTTCTCAGGAACTATTTCAAAACAGTTGGCATTAAAAAATAACTTAATGCAGGGCCAGCTACTGGAGTATGGTTACGTCACTGCACTCCCACATAGCTGACTGCGTTGAGTCTGAGACCCGGTGGCTTAAAACTCACACCGGGCACATGTGCGTGAGGGCCTCGAATCCCAAGAGGTGACTGGAGGTAAAGGGACATGGCCACTCTCAGATCCCGGGGATGGGGGTGATTTCTTGCTTTCTGTCTGTCTCACACACACATTCCACAGCAAAAATCTCTCTCTCTCTTAAAATAAAAAAACCCTAAAAACCAACTTTAATGTGCAACGATGCTTTTATAATTAGTCCAAATGGATACCAAGAAATGGGCACGTCCAATAAGAAGGAATGAAGACCATACAGATACGAGTATGCTTTTCTTGTGCATGTAGGTAGTACACGAATAAACACACAGAAGGTAAATGTAGTAACTGGGGAAAAAAAAAAAAGTAAAGTAAAGTCAGTCTGGTAGTCTAGTGGTTATAAGAGCCAGAACTGACAAGGCCCATCACGATTCCAATTCCAACCCCGATGGCTTGAAAAAGAATGTGTGTGTACATCGCCAGAGTCCCAGTGGGATAAGAAACGGGGAAGAGACTGCAGTGTGACCAAGCCCCACTGGAGAGTGCTTATTTCCTGTCTCAGGAGAGTTTATGTGCCCTGTGGCAATTGAAAAAAAAAAGACGCAAACCACCAGCCCCTACTACACACCTATAAGAGCCAATTCCTGAAAAATCAAAAGTAAATGGAAATAATCTAAACCTATTAAAACAGAAGCTTTTATTAGGAAAGGAAAAAAAAATGTATTTCTAATTTGCACCTTACTCTCAAAGGCCTATTGTCCCCACGTAGACACAAATCAATAAATCTTCCTATATTTTTCTCCCTAGAAAGTTCAAGGACACCATAAAAACTGGGCAAAACAAAAGCTGTCCCCAGAAAAGAAAAAATGTGATAAATCATGTGCCCAACCTCACTTAATATAAGGGAAATAGGTATTTACCGTGCAGGCAGATACCGTTTCTCACCTGTGACCCTGACTAAATACCCAACAGTATGACGGTACTCTGTTAGCAAGCTCTCATATGCTGCTTATGGGATGGCAAAGCTGCACTGCCCGGAGTAAGAGGAGAAATTAAGACTACATATTCATTCACTTTCTGACTCACAAATCCCACTTCTCAGGAACTATTTCAAAACAGTTGGCATTAAAAAATAACTTAATGCAGGGCCAGCTAATGGAGTATGGTTACGTCACTGCACTCCCGCATAGCTGACTGCGTTGAGTCTGAGACCCGGTGGCTTAAAACTCACACCGGGCACATGTGCGTGAGGGCCTCAAATCCCAAGAGGTGACTGGAGGTAAAGGGACATGGCCACTCTCAGACCCCGGGGATGGGGGTGATTTCTTGCTTTCTGTCTGTCTCACACACACATTCCACAGCAAAAATCTCTCTCTCTTAAAATAAAAAAACCCCAAAAACCAAAAACCAACTTTAATGTGCAACGATGCTTTTATAATTAGTATCCAAATGGATACCAAGAAATGGGCACGTCCAATAAGAAGGAATGAAGACCATACAGATACGAGTATGCTTTTCTTGTGCATGTAGGTAGTACACGAATAAACACACAGAAGGTAAATGTAGTAACTGGGGAAAAAAAAAAAAGTAAAGTAAAGTCAGTCTGGTAGTCTAGTGGTTATAAGAGCCAGAACTGACAAGGTCAATCACGATTCCAATTCCAACCCCGATGGCTTGAAAAAGAATGTGTGTGTACATCGCCAGAGTCCCAGTGGGATAAGAAACGGGGAAGAGACTGCAGTGTGACCAAGCCCCACTGGAGAGTGCTTATTTCCTGTCTCAGGAGAGTTTATGTGCCCTGTGGCAATTGAAAAAAAAAAGACGCAAACCACCAGCCCCCACTACACACCTATAAGAGCCAATTCCTAAAAAATCAAAAGTAAATGAACTAATAGGGAATAACAAGTTGGCCCCATAGACTAATGGTTAAGGGCACTAGATGACTGGGGCTTGAAAAAGCAGCAGCAGCCTGTGCATACACGCCCAGAACCCCACAGGGATGGAGAAAATGAGAAGAGACTGCAGCATGACCACGCCCCCTTGGGGTGGGGAGAATGCTCCACCACCAATCTTTCTGGCTAGCACACCTACCCTATGGCAATTAAAAAAAGAAAGAAAAATAACAGCAGTAGATTGAAACTTATAAAGGATAGATAGAATGTTACCACACAATAAAAACCCAACAAAATAATAAAAATCTCATTAGTCATTGATGGAGGCTGTCAGTGCACCAACTCTGTTCTACTCTGAAAACTGGCTAATAAAGGAAAGTAACACTAAGTTTTCAAGAAATACTAGGGACAAGGGAGTATGTTAAACTACTTAAGAATATGGCTAGTCGAAAACTCGAGTGGACAATTTTTATAAGGCACACTGCTGTGACCTCATGAGTGAATGGCAAAAGGGGGGGAAGGAAAATAAAAGAAGGATGAAAAGATACAAACATACTGTGTGCACATTGTTTGGATTATAATTCAAACCAAGTAACTACAGTCTTTGATAATATTAAAAATTTATCCATTTTATTAAAAGAAGGATGAAAAGATACAAACATACTGTGTGCGCATTGTTTGGATTATAATTCAAACCAAGTAACTAGTCTTTGATAATATTACAAATTTATGTATTTTATTAAATACAACGTTTTATAAAGTACTACCTGACAGTACTGAAGTACTGGTTACATCAGTAACAGGCTAAATAAAATTGTGACTAAGATTTGCTTCAAAATACCCTAGTAAGCAGAACAAAACGGTCATCAGTGTGTGTGAGTCCAGTGTACTATTCAGGATATGTGAATTAATACACACATACTCAGACAAAATATTCATTAGGATACATTTAACACGGTATTACTTTAACATGTGAAGGAGCAATATTTCAAATCCTTTTCACTTTTCTCCAGTCCAAAATCTCCCCCGAAATAGGCTTCTCATTATAAAGTCCCGTAACTAACTGTTCAGAGGAAGGCATGTTCAGGACAAAGTCCACTTGTGCTCACCATTACTCTGCTCGACTGTCATCAGATTATGCTTGGCTTTCACTGAGGCCTCGAAGGTATCCACATTTTCCCGCTCATACTCTTTAACGTCAGCAGCTACTCTCTCCAGAATGTCATCTGGGGAGGGGGACCGCGTTCTCGTACTGCTCTGGGGGCTGCTTGGTTCAGATGGCACAGACATATTGCTGTCTTCAGCAAGATATTTGTATTTCTGTAATAACAACAAAATGAATTACTTTCATAAAATCACATGCATTCTGGCTATATAAATTTGCTAAAAAGTGCTGTATAGAAAACTTGAAGAGTAAGCGTCAAATAATGTAAAACAAACAAAAAGGTATTTTGTACCTTGGTTGAATCAGATCCACAATCCCTTGTATGTAAGCCCCAAGCCCCTATCTATGAGAAGGCCTGACTGCTGTGCATTCACTAGGTGGCAGAGCCCAGCCTGACCTGACTGGATGAGGTGCAGCTCACAGGCTTACTTATTCCCCAGCATGTGTCTCGCTGTACAGACGACAAAGTGTTTGCTTATGGGGTCTGTTCCAGACCTGACTGATGGCGCTAAGTGATGTACATAGATGCACCATATTACCTTTCTACAATTCAAAAATTTCTGAGTTCTGAAGCACATCTCGCCCCAAGGGTTGGAGACAAGGGATTGTGGACCTGGGTGAGAACAAAGAAAAATTCAACCAAGTCTTCAAGGACTCATTTTTCATGTCTTTCAAAATTCTCCCTCTCAGCTTCCTGCACCTTATCAGCAGCTCTCCTATGAATGAGAAGGCCCCTTACAGAGACAGCAACCACAAAGGATCTAGTGACCATGAGTTCAATCTCAGAATGGTCAAAAAAAGAGCTGACAATATTCCAAGGCAGCAAATTGTTACCATTAAACAATCGACATCTATATACAATCTCCCCCTCCTACAATTTTCTTCATCTAGCTTGAGTCTTAAATTATTTTTGAAATGTTTCATTTAAACTACTCACTTTATGGTTATTCACAGCCTGCTATTATCTTATTAACCACTAAACATGTTAGTTTTTTCATAGCAGCAGGCATCATTTTTGCTAAGTGAAATTTCTCCAGCTTATTCTGTACTATTAATAACATTTTTCTTTTTCACTCGCTTAAAAAAGGGCAAACTTGGGACTAGCAGTTAGCGTAATGGCTATGTCGCTGGACTCCCACGTAGTCAACCGTGGTTCAAGTCCTGGACCCGGTGGCTTATCCTGAGAGGAGAATAGAGGAGAAGGGATTGTGGCGTGGTCATCCCCCCTGGGGGGTGATTTCTCATTTTCTGTCTCTCTCTGCCTGTCTGGCGAGCGCACGCAACCTATATAACAAAAACCTCTCCAAAAAAAGAAAAGAAAAAAATAATGTAAACTTCAACTTTTGTCTTATAAAAGAAGTTTACACCACAATTCTATGTACAGAAAAGAAAAACCACCACGTTTTAACAAGAAACTATCATCTTATCAGATTTTAACCTTAACTCTTATACTACTGGCACTTTTTCTTTTAAAGTTTTTTCTGTAGGGCACATGTGCTCACTAGAGAGAGACAGAGAGGGAGGGAAATAAAAAAACATCAACCCCCAGCAAGGATGGCCAGGCTGCAATCCCTTCTCTTATCTCAGGATTTGGGGCATGCATGTGCATACTCCTGGCCTGTTTTTCAAGCCACTGGCTCTGGAATTCAAATTGTGTAGTAAGCCATGTGGGATTCAGTGCCTTAACCATCATGCCACCTAATGGCCCTGTCACTTCTTTCTTCAAAGTGAAAAATTGCTATTTTACTAGAAAAGTAATTCATTAAGAGGGAGATTAATAAAAACTTTACTTGAAACGATATACCTGAACGATGGCCTGCCTTTGTATTCTTCTCTGTTCTATCAGGGCTTCTTCATCTTCTTCCTCTACATCAAAGTCTTCAAGGCTTAAAAAAATAAAACATTCTTAAGAGAGACATCTATATATTTTTTAAATAAAGGCTAGAAAACACTGGTCATCATTAAGTTAGTACAGAAGTCTTGAGCCATATAATATTAGTCTCTTCATTTTTGTTTCCAAACTACGTCAGGTGCCTGGTGTGAAATACTTGCAAGTAATCTAACCTTTGTCTCAATTTTCTCTGTATCTACTTTATGGAACCCCAACTGTCAACAAAAGAAATATCTGTGAGTTTTAAAAATCCCAGGAGGAGAATGGAGAAGAGACTGTGGCATAGTCGTCTCCCTCAATGGGTGATTTCTCACTGTCTCTCCGTGTTTCGCGTCGATGAATGCAAGTGCCTTACAGCAAAAATCTAAAAACCCTCATTACTGGCCTTAAAGAGGGTTTCTCAACCTCAGTATTACTTATTTTTGATATGGATAGCTCTTCTCCATGGGAAGTTACCCATGTATTGTGGCATGCAGTATCCCTGTCCTCTGGCCACTGGAAGACAACCTAAAATGTCTTCAAACATTGTCAAAATGCTGAGGTAAAAAAAAACAAAAACAAAAACAAAAAAACTTCCCAAGAACCACTGCAGTAAATCGGTCTTGTTTATTTTGATACTATATTTACATTTTTAAAACCACCCCCATTTTATCAGACACTAAAATGTTTCCCCATTTTCATACCCTTACAAGCATACCTGCTGAAGGTAACCTCAACTGCAAAGTATGTATCATTAAAAACAAACTGGAAAGTCTAAACTCTGTATAGAAATTTCTCCCCTGGGACCAGCAGATGGCTACGTCACTGAACTCCCATGTAGTCGACCACAGTTCAAGTCCCAGACCTGGTGGCTTAAACTCACACTGGGCGTGTGTGTGTGTGCATGCCCAAGATCCCAAAAGGAGAATGGAAGAGAAGGGATTGTGGCGTGGCCATCCCCCTTGGGGGGTGATTCCTTACTTTCTGTCTCTCTGGCGAGCTTAGGTGCCCTTTAGCAAAAACCTCTCCTAAATAAATAAACTGGTAACTTAGATTATCAGGTCTAAGTAATATATCTGTTGTTCCCAATAAAAATAAAGGGATGTCTCAAAGTGAAATGATGCCACAATATTGACTCCAGCCAAAGCTGAAACTCCTAAATTCAGAAAACCACTACCTCTGCCATACAATCTATACAAAAATTCCATTCGTACTTATCATCAGATGAAGACTCCTGCTCAACTTTCATTCCTTCAGAAAGACTTCCTTTAAATTTATCTTCCTTTACTTTGCTTCTGCTCCTACGTCGACGACCACCACGGGACCGAGATCTCCTCCTTAAGCGTGATCTGCTCCTCCGACCTCTGTCCCTATGTGAAGAGAAAAAACATAGCTTTAGAAATGTCCATCTAGGGGACCAGCGGTTAGCATAATGGCTGGACTCCCACGTAGTTGACCGCAGTTTGAGCCCCGGACCCAGTGGCTTGGACTCACGCCGGGCGCGATCCCGAGAGGAGAACGGAGAAGGGATTGCGGCGTGGTCAACCCCCTGGGGGATGATTTCTCACTTTCTGTCTCTGGCAAGCGCATGCGCCCTACAGCAAAAAAGAAAAAAAAAAAACCTCTCCAAAAAAAAGAAGAAAAAAAAAAATGTCCATCTAGAAGGAGGCAGGCACCTGTGTACAGAGGTATGCATAAACTCTACATTCTCCACAATTTTACCATGAATCTAAAACTCTTCTATAGAATAGTCTATTTAAAATATTATGTAAAATAACAGTATACTAGAAAGATTGGGATGAACAGCTTAACTGAAGACAACTAAAACACAACTATTGCTGTTACCAAATTTTAAACTAAAAAATGTTTCCCATGAATATGGATATGAATATAAACTCTATGAAAAGAAATACCTGCTGTTTTGTCATATTCTTATCACTGAGGTTGCAGTATACAAAAAGATCCTGAATATATACTGTTACTTAATACAGTAAAAATTAGGTTTCTTTCTGGTTTCCATAGCTGCACTGTATGGTCAGATATGTTTGTCCTCTAAGCTGTTTATGCTGCTAACTGAATTCATTTTTAATTACATTATTAATTTATGAAAAGTATAAATAGAGAAGGTTTCTATAAAAACTTAGTTAAAACCATGGAGACCAAAAAGAGATGGTGGTTGCCAAGGGCTGCAGTGAAGGGAGAGACCAACTATAAAGGAGCTCCAGGGAACTAAGGAGTGATGAGAATGTTCTCTACCTATGGTGACCTTATGACTGCCCGAACTCATGTAACTTCATGCCGAAAAAGGTAAGTCTTACTTCAAGTAGGTTATTATGTGTTTCAAAAAAACCCCCCAACTTAAAGAACCCTTACTATGGGCCTACGGGTGGTGTGGTGGTTAAGGCACTGGATCCCAGAAGGCTGACTCTGCAGTTTGAGTCCCAGACCTGGTGGTGGCTTGGGAAAAAAACACCAGGTGCCTATGTGTGCATGCCTAACCCCTGGGAAGGGAATGGGGAGACACTAGGGGTGGTTTCTTTCCCTTTCTCTTTCTCTGCAGCAAGTGCACGTGCCCTAGGGCAAAAATCTTAGTAAAGACTGTAAAAAGAACCATGACATTCAAAGAATACTTAAAAAACCCTAAACCTCAAAGAGAATGTGAAGATAGCAGAGATGACAACAAAATCTTGAAATCTGCAAACTGAACAGAAGCATACTAACAGATCAAACTGAGCTGAATGAGTCCAATAGGAACAGACAAGGTAAGTCAGAAACCTGTCAGTGCAAGACACAATACCCTCAGAAAGCCTTGGAATTGGAAGATACCCTAACCACTGGAAAATGGAAATGTGAAGTCACAGCTGAGCAGAACTGGTTGAAAGCATTTAACAGTAGACTATAATCCTCTCAACTCAGTGGATAATGCCATCTTCTGCCTTCATATTCCTGAAGACTATTTAAAATTTACTCTCTAGAGAGATAATGGTCATTATAAAACTGACCTAGCCACTACCAAAAAAACACAGGGATTAAGGGGACATTCGCCTTAGGAAGGGCCCAAACTCCAACCTTAGCAGATAAGAGGATATTGGAAAACTTCTCAGCCCAAGAGAAAAGAGCTGGTCATTGATATCCTAGTGTCTCTACCTAATTTCTCTAGCTACTAGTTGATAAGTTCTATTGTCAGAATGGAAGAAAGCTTCTATTCAGCTTTCTCACTGCCTGTCGGAAGAGGCAGCAATGAAGGAGCCAGGTGTTTGAGCAGATCTTCAAATAAAAGGTAAACGAGCAATAAGAGAAAACTGGGAAGAAATAAAGCAGGAGGATAAAACTATGAATAAAACTCTCACAAAATACTCAATTATCACCTGAGAGTAAGAGATTCCATAAAACGAAAATAACATGTTAAAAATAAACAAGCAAAACAAAAATCCCCTCAAAAACAGCCAATAAAAGCTTTGAAATAAAAAAGTACAGAATTAAATGAAAGTCAATAGAAGAGTGATTTTAGTCGAATGACAAAAATCTACTAAAGTAGAGCAAAATGTAAAATATGAGAGATGCATAAAGGCAAAATGAAAGATTTACAGAACATAAGACATTTATTATTAAGAGAGAAGAAGAGAATAAAGCAAGTCCTTTAAAAATGTCCAGGAATCAGAACAGGACATCTCAATAGCAATATACTGAAAACTAGATGTAATAGGTAGAATAGAAATTTCAATACTTTTAAGGGCAAATAATTTCAATCTAGAATTATATTCCTTGCCATATCTACAATGAGAATAATCAGGATTTCTAAAATGTAAGATCCCCAAAAATGTCCCCTACATGAAATTTTCTAAGTAAGCTCCTGGAAATGCATTACTAAAACAAGACAGTAAACATGAAAAGACACTGAACATAAAAAACAGACCTCCGACACGAGAGAAACTCGGGACTCCAAGAGGTTAGTCAATGGTAAGTGACCCCAAAGAACAACCCACCATATGAGCAGGTCCTAGACGGGCGCTTGGAATCAGAAGACTAAGAAAGTCAAAGGAAGGTCCTCTCTCCTTCACCCCACTATTTGTTCTGCAATGAACAATATGCACTGATCTTAATGATTGATAGGGAAGCATAAAAATATGAAAAAATGAGGCAGAAGAGAAACAAGGGTGAGGGGTGGGATAAAAAATCTTTATTGTATACAGTACACTTCAACAAAGCATGTCCACTTCTAGGAATCGTAGTAAACAAAAGTTTCAGGGATATATAAAGATGTCTGCAATATAAAGCTCTGGTATCTTTTCAACCAATATTTATGTGTTACTTCAATTAAAATGTTAAAAAAAAAAAGATCTCAAGTGAATGCCTACTTAAGTTTTAGATTAAAATATTTAATGTATACGGGGATATAAAAAAATGATTCCCTGCTCTAAAAAAAAATCAACCTTTCTGATTAACCAACAGGACTCCCATCCACATGGCCAAAGGCAGTCTGAGTCTGAGGCCTGGCACCTTGCTTTCTTATTTTCCCTCTGTTTCTCTCTCTCTCTTCCTCTCTCTGGTGAGTGCCTGCACCTTGTAGCAAATAAAAAAATAATAAAATACAATAAAAAATATTTTAAAAAATAAGCAAGTACAATCATTAAATGTCAGGAAACTGAGCTGAACATTTACTACTTTATGATATATCTTGCTAGTTTAAAAGAGGGGAAAAGGGCTGGCCCTCACAGTACAGTGGTTGGCTGCTGTGCACAGGGAGTGGGATCCCACATGGCCAATCATGGCTGGAGTCCCAGCCCCAGCAGCTTGAAAAACACTTAAGCGTCTGTGCATGCATGCACGAGACCATAATGGGATGGAGAAATGGTCAAAGGACTGTGGCATGACCATGTCCCATTTGAGGTCTTCCTGGCTCTCTGCCTTATGCATTCACACACACCCCTTTGGCAATTAAAAATAATAGTAATAAAATATAAACGTGCACACCTTCAAACTTTGCAAGTTCATTTGTATAAATCTATTCTACAAGGAAATCTTACACACAACCAATGGACAGATTTTAAAGAGCAATAATTTATTCAAATGTAAAAGGAAACTGCTGTAACTGTGGGATCAGTTACAATTTTTCAGAGAAAAATGGTCTTTAAGAAAACCTACCAACTGGGAACCAGCAGTTAGCATAATGGCTATGTCGCTGGACTCCCACGTAGTCGACCGCGGTTCACGTCCCGGACCTGGTGGCTTAAAACTCACGCCGGGCGCGTGTGCGTGCATGTCCAAGATCCCGAGAGGAGAATGGAGGAGAAGGGATTGCGGCGTGACCATCCCCCCTGGGGGGTGATTTCTCGCTTTCTGTCTCTATGTCTCTCTCTGTCTGTCTGGCAAGCGCACGTGCCCTACAGTGAAAATCTCTCCAAAAAAAAAAAAAAAAAGAAAAAAAGAAAACCTACCAACTCAACTAAATGGCGTTTCAATAATGTCCAGTTTGTTCAATCAAAGGATAACGTGTATCATGAATGCTTACCTTCTCCGAGGAGTCCTACTTCTTCTTCTTGGCGACCGGCTACGTCTGAGTGGAGAACGAGACCTTCTTCTAATAGGAGATCTACTTCTTCTTCGGGTTGGAGACCATCTATTTATGGGGCTGACATCTTTTGATCTTTCACGTCTGCTGAGGAGATCATCTCGAGGTCGTGTTCTTAAGGGGACCAAATTCAAGTTTACACAAAAGTGAATCAAACAGAACGCATCTGTTCCTCACATAAAGGATACCTTAAGGAAAGGTGCACTAGGACAGGCAGATGGCTCAACGGTAATGTCGCTGGACTCCCACTTAGTTGACTGCAGTGGGAGTCCTGGACCTGGCAGCTTAAAACTCACACCAGGTGAGAGGAGAATGGAGGAGAAAGGACTGCCACATGGCCATCCCCCCAGGGGAGGGTTTCCCACTTTCTGTCTCTCTGGTGAGCACACAGAAAGACATGCACGCTATAGCAAAAAAATAAATAAAAATCCCCCTTGGGGGTGACTTCTTGCTTTTAATGTTTCTCTCTGTCTCTCCTGGAAGCCCACATGACATTAACAAAAAAATTTCTCTTCAAAAAAAGGTACACTAACCTAAAGATAGTAAAAAATCAATGTGTTTTGCATATCCTCTAATCTAAAAATCTGAAGAATTATAAAAGTCATACCATCCAAGCCACTGATTCTAATTTCAGATAACTCAAAACCTGCCTGAGTAACATGTCCTCAGTATGAGGACTTTTCCCCTCTCTATAGCATGCTATTTCTGCAATTAAGAATCTTATCTTTGGCACCAACAGATGGAGTAATGACCGTCGCTGGACTCCCACGTAGTCAACTACAGTTTGAGTCCCTGACCTGACGACTTGAAACTCATGCTAGGAGCATGTGTGTCCATGTCCCCAAATCTCTAGAGAATGGAGAAGGGATTGTGGCTTGGCCATCCCCCTCCCCCCCAGGGTGATTTTTCTGTTTTCTGTCTCTGTCTCTCCCACAAGCACATGTGCCCTATAGCAAAAATCTCTTAAAAAAAAACAAATAAAAGAATCTTCTCTTTAACGCTGGTGACGTATAATACCTTCCACTTTATAATCAACTTAACTTTAACTAAAGAAACACCTCAGTTTCTCCTATAACTTCTCAATAGCTGTCTCTTCCAAGCACCTTCTAATGAGTTTTATTCGTCTTTAATGTGATGACTTATTACAATAGGTCTTTCTACAACTTTTCCTTATTTTTTGCTATAGGGTGAGTGTGCTTGCTGGGGAGAAAGAGAGAGAGAGGGAAGGTGAGAAATCATTCGGGCGAGGGGTGACCATGCATCAGTCCCTTCTCCTTCATCCTCTCAGGATTTGGGACATGCAGACAGACACATGTGCCTGGTGTGTGTTTCAAGTCACAGGGTCTGAAACTTGAACCATGAAGCTGGCCATGTGTGTTTCAGCTGTATTAACCACCACACACACTGATGGGCCCACCACGTTTTTAAAAATAAGTTTTGAACATTTTGTAATGTTGTTTCAGATTTGAAATATTCAATATGAGCAGACTGAAATGGGTTTGTCTCCACAATTAAGTAGTATTATATTTTTCCCATTTAATAAAAACATAACCTGCTTTACATGTCTAAACATAGTGTACAGAACCTAAAACAATCTTTCTTGGATCTAGCCAAAATGAGCAATATAGATTTTGACTCAGATCTATCTGTAGTACTTACTTCTTGGTAGGGACATGTGAGGAAACTCTTACATATAATTTCATCAGACACACCATGCAGAGCTGGCAGTTGGTGTGGTTGTTAAGGGTGCTAGACTTCCACATGGAAAACTGTGGTGTGAGTCCCAGACCTGGCAGCTTTCTCTCTCTGACCCCTCTGATTAAATTAAAATAAATAAATAAATAATGTTAAATAAAAATTTTAAAAAACATAAATGCGAGACCAGCAGATGGCATAATGGTTAGGTCGCTGGACTCCCACGTAGTTGATCATAGGTTTTCTTTTTTTGAGAGGTTCCTGCTATAGGGCATGTGCACTTGCCAGAAAGACAGAGAGAGAAAGCGAAAAATGACCCTCTGGGGGGGAGTGGGGGAAGACCACGCTACAGTTCCTTCTCCTCCATTCTCCTCTTGGGATCTTGAGCATGCACGCACACGCACCCAGTGTGAGTTTAAGCCATTGGGTCCAGGACTCAAACCATGGTCGACTACATGGGAGTCCAGCAACATAGCCATGACACCAACTGCTGGTCCCCAGTAGCTTAAAACTCATGCTAGGCACACGTGTGTGTGTGCCCAGGATTTCAAGAAGAGAAGGAAGAAAAAAAGATTGCCGCATGGGCATCTCCCCCTGGGGAGTGATTGCTGGGAACTCGACTGGGACGCTGCCAAGTCTGTAGATCGGGTTAGAGAGATCGTCCTTGAACGATAATGAGTGTCCTCATCTTGAATGGGGGGTGGGTGTGGGGGGGATCAGCAGTTAGTATGGCTATGTTGCTGGACTCCCATGTAGCTGACTGCAGTTCGATTCCCGGACCCGGTAGCTTAAACTCACACTGGGCGCCTGTGTGTGCGTGCCCAAGATTCGGAGAGGAGAATGGAGAAGGGATTGCGGTGTGGCCATCCCCTCAGGGGGTGATTTCTCACTTTCTGTCTCTTCCTCATTCTGTCTTTCTGGCGAGCGCACGTGCCCTATAGCAAAAACTTCTCCCCCACCCCCACAAAAGAAAAAGACCTGCATGTTACAAGACTTTATGAAAAAAGTAAAACACTTATTAATATGACTAGTGTGACTAGATTTTTGTCATAAAAAGCTTATAGTCATATAATTGTAGGTGCATAAACAGCTAGACAGATAAGTACCTTAGGTGTGGTAGTGGAACCATGAAGAGGGAGCAAATTTACAGGCGTTATTTGGAGTTCTCTTTATAATTACTATGTACTTGTGTAATTAAAAAAAAAACTGTTTCAAATACTTAACTCTAGTCCTTAATTCTTTGAATCTCTTCAAATGGAAAGCAAACTGAAAGACTACCACGATAATTAAGTAACACTTTAGATAACAATCAGCAAAACTAACTGCCTCAATGCAGCAAGCTAAAGGGAAAAGGAGGCTATTTCATTACAATGCCAATAAGAAATAAAGATTAAGAGTATTTCTTCAGATAAAGAACCCTGAAATTTCTCTGAAAATACGATGCTTTAAATTTCAAGACCAGTTTATATTTATACCTATACACAGAAAAATGTAAGTACAGTGGCTAGAAAATCATAAGATCTTTATATTATAAAAATATGACTGAATTTCATAAACAATATTTCGAATATGAAGAAGATATTTGTAAAAATCCTGTTTCTAAGTAATTTAGGCTAAATACCCTACCCTCAATAACTCAGTTCTACGGCACAGGTAAATTATGTAATTTCTCTGACTCTATTTCTCATTTATAAATTAGAACTTCCCCACCTTATGTATTGAGATAATCACCAGAGGACTTATGGGAAAAGAACTGATTAAGTTAATGTATTATAGAAACTAGTTATTATCATTATTACTGGTACAAAATAATTTAACATTATTTTTTCTAAACTTAAGAGGTACAACTTTTCCTAACAATGGAATTATAATTAAAATCACGCATCAATAATGACAAGTATATGGGCCAGTAGGTGGTGTGGTGGCTGGGACGCTAGATTCCCACATGGCTGACCTGTTTGAGTACTGGAACTGGTAGCTTAAAAATTACAACAAGGGGCCAGCAGGTGGCATGGTGTTTGAGGCACTGGACTTCCCACATGGTTGACCATGGTTCGAGTCCTGGACCTGGTGGCTTGCTTTCTCTCTCTCTCTCTCTCTCTCTCTCTGCCTCTCTTTGGTGAGTGCACATGAAAAAATAATGACAATAATAGATAAAATAATAACTTTTTATGGTGAGTGCACATGAAAAAATAATGACAATAGATAAAATAATAACTTTTTTAAAAAACACAACAAATAGATCTATCAATAAATCAATATTTATAAAAATTAATGACAAAGATATGGCCTAATAAATGTGTTGAGGCTAAATCATCCTGCGAACCTCACAGAATGAACTTAAACTTAGACAGCACAGCCATCTTACCACACACCTAGGCTTAGATGGCTATTATCATCTTACAGGACCAATACCACATAGGCAGCCATCATTGACCAAAATGTTACAGCACATGACTACACAAAATTTAGTAACAAAATTTGTCATCTAAAACTTTTCATTTTAAATTTAGTTAGATTTGAGGAACTAAATACATTGATATTAGCATCATTTCATATTGTTAAAACTCAAAATCATGCAGACCCAAGAAAGGATCACAATCTTTAAAATTACTCCTGTTTTCAAATGTAGAAGTTTCAGTTTATGCTGTTCAATGAAGTAGTAATCCTCTCTCTGCACCCCTCTCATGAAGATTTATCAACCAAATTATATGGATAGGTAGGAACAATGGATATGAAGGACCAATTTAGCAAATTAGATACTATATTAAATTTAAAAAGTAGAGGAAAAAAATACTGATTCTGTCATGCAGCACATTATTTAGGAAACAGCCATAAAATACTCACTGATAAAATGCAAATCTTAATATAGTTAATTAACTTAAAATTACAAAATTTATTACAACCCCAGTTTAATCATCCACAAGTCCTGGTTCTCCTTTAAAATCTACAACATCAACATCTGGTAAATTATTTACCTTGGAGAAGAAAGTCGTCTCCTTTCTGGTTCTCTTCGTTTTCTTTCTAAGGATCGGCTCTTGGCTCTTCTACCAGGAGAGAGTGTTCGAGAGGGTGATTTGCTCTGCTTTGATCGCCTATCATTTAAAAGTGGTGATCTACTTCTTCTTGATTTATCGCGCTGTTTTGGAGACAGACTTCTTCTTTTAGGACTACGCCCAGGTCTTCTACTGGGTGATCTGTTTTCTTTCCCAGATGAAGCATCTTTAGAAGGAGATTTAATTGGTTTCTTTTCTCTATCAGTTTCGGACCTTTTTGATTTTCTTTCTTTGGACCGTGACCTCCTGTCTTTGGATTTACCTCGTAAGTCAACTGGGGATCTGGACTTTTTACCTCGATCACGACTTCTACTTTCATTTACAATTGGAGATTTTTTCCTATCTTTTGACTTACTCTTATCTTCAATTTTAACCTTATCATCCATAGGAGATCTGGCCTTCCCAATTTTCTCTTGAGATCGCCTTCTAAGGGTAGGGGATTTTGATTTTCTTGCTTGATCTTGAGACTTACTTCTTTTGGATGGACTTTTAGATTTTTTTCTCTCCTTTGACTTGCTCCTAGTTGTTGTTTTCTCTTTAGCTATTTCAACATTTCCCTTGCTTTTCTTTTTATCAGACCTATGTCTAGTCCGTTCTTTGGATCTGCTTTTACTTCGTTTTTTTGTACTACTTTTGTTGTCCACAAGTTCAAGTTTTCCCTTCGTACTGGAAGATCTAGTACTAGATCTATTTCCGTTTCTTGCTTTTTCATGAATCTCCCCCTCCTCTTCAGAGCCAGACTCATAACCTTGTAAAATGAGACCCATCCCAGATTGGACCTTTCCTTCCATTAACTCGTTATCAAGTTCAGCTTTAATCAAGGCTCTCTGTTTTTCCAAGTCTTCTAGCAAAGCTAAATCATCAAGTTTAGTTCTTTTTGCTGGAGACAAACCTTCTTTGTCAGAAGCATCAATAACTTCTTTCCTTTTGTGTTTCTTATGTTTATGCTTATGTTTATGTTTTTTATCTTTGTCTTCTTCTGAGGAATGTTTATGTTTCTTATGTTTACTTCTGTGTTTATGCTTCTTTTTTTTGTGACGACTGTGTTTATTTTGAGATTGGTCCTCTGATACTTCTCCATTTTCTTCATTTACACTCTTTTCAGAATTATCAGCATCTTCCATTCTGTAAATGTATTAAATAAATTTTAAAATCACATCATTTACCAAGTATTCAGAGACATATCAAAATAACAGCAACAACAACAAAAAAGCCTCAATGTAACACATAAAACTAGTCACTAAAATTTTTTCAGAACAGCTTCAGACATTTCAAAGGTGGTGGAGAAAACTGAGTTGGGTGGTGGTATAACTTCAATTTGTCTCTAATGGTTGAACTCATATACCAAAAGTATTAGAGGAAAGGCATAATCAGGTGAGGTTTAAACAATTACCAATAATTACTGGCAGTTGGCATAATGACTATGTCGCTGGACTCCCATGTAGTCAACTGCGGTTTGAGTCCTGGACCCGGTGGCTTAAACTCACACCAGGCACGGTAGTGTCCGTGCCAAAGATCCCGAGAGGAGAAGGGACTGTGGCTGTGGTGTGGCCATCCCCCCAGGGGGGAGGGGGTGATTTCTCCTTTCTGTCTCTCTGGCGGGCGCCTGTGCCCTACAGCAAAAACATCTTCAAAACACAACAACCAAAAAATGACCAATAATAAAAAAAAAGAGAATCCAATCCAGGTATAGTAAAACCTCATTAAGTTAACACCAATTTAGTTAAAACACTAGAGTTAAGGTAACTACCTTGAGTTTTGAAACATATTTCCTACACAAACTTTTTTGTTTGCTACAGGGTACATGTGCTCAATGGAAAGACAGAAAGAGACAGAGACCAGAAGAAAGAAGGATGGCCATGCTGCAACCCCTACTCCTCCATTCTCCTCCTGAAATTTTGGGCACACACACACATGTATCTGGCATGAGTTTTAAACGCCTGGGTCCAGGACTGAAACTGCGGTCAACTACGTGGGAGTGCCGCAAGGTAACTGCTACACCATCTGCTGGTCCCTTCCTATACATACTTTAATAACAATTTTCTTTTTCATAAAATATACCAATAACGACATACATTAGGAAAGTAACCTCCACCTGGAATTCAGAAAATGTGATGTTTCTACAATAAATCTAGAAAAATCACTTATTTTCAGTAGATTTCATTCTATTTTCTAAGAAACAAAACACCTAGGGGCCAGCAAATTGGTTAGTGGTCTATGTTCCTGACCTTGCTGTGTGAAAATCACTCTGGGCACATGTAAGTGCATGTCTAAAATCCCAGAAGGAGAATGGATTGTGGAGTGGTCATTCCCACTGGGGGGAGGGGTGCTTTCTCACTTTCACTCTCACTGTCTCAGGCAGGACATGCAACCTATGGCACTAGAGCAAAAAACCCCCCCCCCCCCCCCCAAAAGGACAACGAATGACCTGGAGCCAGTAATAAACTATACCAAACTTAGTGCTTAATCAATGTCCACTGGTAGCTGATATCCATAAGGTTGACAGTAAAAAAACACAGCCCATAGGTTAAAACTTCAGAGTTTAGGATTCTCGGTCTGTACTGTAAAACTATGGTTATGTGATTAGACTGAACCACATGGAAGAGTCCTTTGGAGGTCCGCAGCATGGTATCAGCAATTTCATACAGTTCAACACAAATTTCATTCATCAAGTTATTCAACCTCAGGGCCAGCAGGTGGCATGACAGATAAGGGTGCTGGACTCCCACATGGCCAACTGTGGCTCGAGTCCTGGACCTGGTGGCTTGCTTTCTCACTTTCTTTCTCTCTCACACTATCCAGCTCTGGTCAAATTAAAATAAAATAAATGGATAAAGTTAAATAAAATAATTCTTAAAAAAATGCTATTCAACCTCTCCGAATTTCAAATGAAAAACTAGTTTCCTAAAATATGTTCACATTAATAGGCGATACACAAAAATTAATTTATTAACTGTCAAGAGTTTTGTGCTTAAATATTTATTCTGAGTTAAGAATTTTATGATTCTAGGGGTCAGGTGGTGGTGCAGTGGTAACACAAATAAACTCCCACAAAATACTTTTTAGAGCATGCTGGGTATGGACATGTGCTTGTGAACCAGGCCAGCTGAGATGGGGAACAGACGGAGATTTGAAGACCCTGTTAGGGGTATCTGTCTCTGATGAAAGAGACAAACACAAAAGTTCATGATTTAAAATTTTTGTATTTTCTCATTTCTTCTGCGAGACAGACCATACAGTCTACTCCCAACAGGGCCTTCATACCACGGCCCACCATGATCATGGGCACGTGTGTACACCCAGGATGTGTAAGAACTCAGGATGTAAACCCAGGACGGCCTCACACAGCTTCAGCATCATATTACTGCTATGCCAATAAGGCTGGCCCAGATTCTAAACTATTTCATCGAGGTGTCAATGTTCAGAAATTCCAGGTGAAATACACATTCAGTAGCATTACTGCCTTTTCCCTTAAAAGTCTTTCCATAATAACCTGCACATCCTAGAATATAAGAACAAAAGCAGTTTTAATATTCAAGCCATTACACTGTTTTAGGAAGACAAGACTTAAAATTAAAGACTCCTGTATTTTTAGTTTATTATTTGTGCCATGTACTACAAATAGCTCCTTGAAGAATTCATGGCTCTAGTTGTCAATTTTTTAATATTGACCATTATCCGCATCCCTTAAGGAAACTGCAGTTAGGTGGGAGAGTCACATAACACAACCATAAAACATTAAAGAAGTATAATGATAAAGACACAGAGGTCAGCAGGTGGGGTGGTGGTTAGGGTGCTGGATTCCCACAAGGCTGACTGTGATACTGTTTTATAGCAAACTACAAGCAGATCAGTGTTGCCAAGGCACCAAATTTATGGAATGAACTGGTTTAACGTGGACCAGTTCCAGAGCCGAATGTATATGATTCTGGGACTGAGTGGGTGGCATAGAATTTGAGGTTTGCTGGAGTCACAGAGGCCCCAGAACTAAAGGGTTGGGTTGCTAGCTGGGCTGTCTACAGTAACTGCTATGTCTTTTCCTTTTTTTCCAAGTTTTTTGCCATAGGGTGCATGTGCTTGCCAGAGACAGAAACAGAGAAGGAAAGTGAGAAATCACTCCCCTGGGGGGATGGCTATGCTGCAGTTTTCCTCCTGAGATTTAGGGCGCACATGCACCTGCTGTGATTTTCAAGCGGCCAGGTCTGAGACTTGAATTGTGGTCGGTCATATGGGAGTCCAGCACCTTAACCACCTTGTCACCCGCTAGTCCCAACACTGCTATTTCTAATGACTATGCAGAAGCTAGATAGAGAATATGATCCTCCAGTCAGGTCTCGGTGTTCAACAAACTTGCAGTGGTGGGGGAGAACAGAGAGGTATGACCGATACGTTAATAGATGCACAGTAAGGGGGAGTGGAGAACGCACAGCCACCATAAGGCGTCATACTGATTTTTTGGGTGTCACATGATCAACCTTGATTTCTGGTACCACTATGATATGAGAAATGAAAAAGCATGACCGGGTGTGCAAAGAGGCTGTGTACTCTGGCAAAAGTCAAGTTTTAGTTTGGGCTGACCTCTCTAGAATGAAGTGTAAGAAGAATACAGCAGTGCTCTCTGGATCATCAATTTTTCTCTCAAAGACTTGGAAAAAGAAAGTGTAGGATCTTTGTATAAAAAAAATAAAATTAAAAACTACCTAAAGATCCCCTAGCTGTCCTCAAAACAGAGCCAGACTTGTGCTCCATTTCTGGCTCCACAGCTATTAGTTGTGTAGCACTGGCAAGTTCAGGATCTCAGCTCCTCAGGCATCTAATCTATGAAATGGAGAAAACAGCAGAACCTACTTGGAAAGAGTACTGGGAGACTTACAAAAGGTTAACGGATGTTAAATATTTACAACAGTGCTTAGCACACACCAAGTGCCCCCAAAAGTAAGCTGTTCTGATTGTACAGATAATGGATAAATGCACTTATTCACAGTAACCCTGAGGAGCTGACTGGATTAAAGATAAGATTGTGTATTACTTTAAGGGACACTGTCAAAGAGCATGTATTCTGGGGTCAAATTAACCGGGTCAAATGCTGCATCCAACATGACAGCTATTGAAACCTTGGCCAAGTTGTTCCCATGACTCAGTTTCCTCAAATGTGAACTCTGGGGAGATAACAGCACTGAAAAATCATTGTGTCATGACAATCTGATGAGTATGTAACATAAAAGGCTGCAACATTGAGTTCAAGATACAATGTCTCTCCACATGGCAGGATGAGACTGAGATAAAAGGAACTTGCATAAGGTCACACATATCTTAAGCCAGTGAGAAGGCGGGTATTACATTTCCAGTCACTCAAAAGCTCTTCCATTTGATTGAAGATGCTTTTAATATATCATATTATGAAAACTTCATTACTGCTTCCTACCTCATTCAGAGTCAGTCCCTGTATTTAACTGTGCAACTTCCCTAACACTCTCAACTTACTACTCTCGCCCCACACTCCCCCTGCCCAGATACACCGCCTTCCTTGAACAGGTGGGTATACTCCACGGACAAGGGCCTTGGGAGTTGCACTTGCTGTCTCTCCTGCAGAAATTGCCTTTCCTACACATTAGCACTGCAGGCTGCTTCTGCCTACCTCGGGTCTGGGCTCAAATGTAACTTTCTCTATCAAGTTTCCTGACCAACTCCATTTTAACTGCAACTCCCACACATATTTTCCTTCTGTGCGTACTATTTCTTCAAGGCAACTGTCACCACCTAATTCTTATCTTTCC